AAGGTTGTGGCAAGACCAAACTGGCAGATCCCAGGGAAGTTGGTCTTTATATCATCTCTTCCAATTGCCCTTCCCAACGGTCTGAATTATGCTGTTTACCAGACTACTCTGGTTCATATGTGCCACTTCTGATACATGGTCTGCCATTGTGAAGGAACTAGGATGAGCTTGAAATGATCAATGCATGTGTATCGCTGGAATTATATCTTATTCACACCCCTAATTCAAAATGCCCTACAGGTATTTTCTGAGTGTTAGGTTATTAATCTTATAAGAGGGAAAAAGTTATCTCCTGTTCAATAAATAGTTTTCTACTCCTTGCACATGTTGGAGCCATATTCTTTCAAACAGGCCTCTCCATCACCACTGGTACGAACAGGGATGTACATAAACTTTAGTACCTTTTTTTCATGAAAACTTCAGCTTGCTGAAGACGGCATGCTCAATAACTCAGCTAAAATTTTGTGGCTGCATTTTGTTGGCACAAACATTTAATTCCAAGGTTTATAACCAACAGCAGCAAAGGATGCATAGCGGTTAAAGTGAGTTCTTTGGTCAAATTCAAACCATTTTATGAAACTGGTTAATTAGCAATTTGAAAGGGGAAAATCAAGGTCTTAAGGTCTCCCCGGGTCACTTCCAAACCACAGCCTATTAACTACTCCTGCCTTTCAACAGTAATAACAATGAGGTTTTAAGTACATATGGAACCAACTATGTGTAAGGCTTTTATGAGGAATTTAAACAGGGGGCATGATTTTGCAAACAACAATTCTAGCAAATAATTTCATGGCTTTTGCTTCCTTCATTGTCTCTTCAAAGAAACCAAACCCCTTTGTCATTATAGGATGTCAGGTTCAGACAGGCTTTTTCTCTGACACTGGTGGAGTCTTTTAAGTGGCTCCCCCGGACCTGTTTTTCTGGCTTTGTTTCCTTGATGCTGACCTCATGAAGGTGGCTTTCACAGTGTATCAACCTCCTGTCAGAACATGGAGTGAGTAAGGGATGGGAAGGGAAAACTAACCATTATCAGGAAGCTGATGGAATTATGGAGTTTAGACAAACATCTAACAGCCTGGCCCTTTGGTGCTCTTTGAGAGATATGTAGGAATCTGACTGTTTTACATCTGCCTAGCCCACGAGCGAGGGGTGGATAACCTTTTCTGAGCTCAAGGCTATCCTCGGCTTTTGAGTTAGCGCATCAGGGACATATTCTGAAAAGCTGGAGCCAGAAAAAAAATGAAACCTCATTTCATTTACATGACATTTAAATCTAAATCCCCAGTCATCTATTAAGTAGTTTTCCCCTTCAGTCCTATTAAAATTTAAAATTTTGCAAAACGTTTGAAAGAGGTGCTTCACAACGTATGGAAATATTTTAAAACACTTTTTCCACTAGCAATTATCTGATTCTACAGATGAGTAGAATTGGGTCTTCCTGGATCTTCCCCTAAGCATATTTCTTTGATGAAGGTACTGTGATACCAAAATGATGAAATGTACATTGTAATGCCATGATTCAAGCTTCGCCATTTGTAGTTGCATGGTAATGTGTGCAAGCGCGTAAGGGGTAGAGTTTGTGTCCCTATGTCTCAACACATTTCATTGCTTGTCCTCCATTGTCCCCACCCCCTCTGGACTCTTATGGATGAAAGATACATCTCTGGGGCAATATTTTAAGCTAGAAGCTAAATCCTGAGGTATCTTAGAATGTACAGATTGCAGACTAGGAGAGCTGTTCCAACAAAGTGATTGCAGTAGTTGATAATTTAAAAAAGCAGTTAGAAAGATGTACAAGAGGTATTGAGAAGCTGACTAAAGAGCTGGTAGTGGAAAAAGACAGGGGCAAAGGCACTAAACTCAGGCTGAATGTGTATTCCTCTGCCTATTCCAAATATGCAACCTGAGACAACCTTGACTTGCAACAGAACAGGCCCTGTCTTTACCAATACTGAACCATACATGAATAATTGCCTTTGAGGCATCTTTTCTTGCCAAGTATCTGACTTTTGGAAGCCAGCTCTAGCTGACTTCATTTCCCCAGGATACATCTACTGCTGAAATCTAAACTGGTTTGACTGCCCTAATTTTCTCTAAGAAATCTTGGGAATTTTAGGGAAGCGTGAGATCTCTGGATGAAAGTAGGGTAATTTCAAAGGCTTTGGTCAGAACTAATTTAAAACTGATTTATGTTTGCTTACATTTAAATATGGTAAAGTTTATGGCCTGGTGAATATGGGTTGTTTCCCCTGAAAAGTACAGTCTCTTGGGAAAATATACCCGCATACCTGTTTAAAATATATTTATAAGAACTAGCACTTATAAACAAAGAAGTGACCATAGACAAGAGTTCAAAATGGCCCATGAGCATACATGTCCATCTGTCTCGCACGTGATGCCATTCCAGATATTTCCATGATATTTTGGGGACATTGTTTTGGAGAGCAGAGGGGCTTCTGAGAAGAGAAAGTAGGAAAATTCTCATATATGCAGCAGTTGGAATCTTCCTCACAGTTATAAGTTATCTAAAAGATAAAATGTAACTTCCTTTATTTAGAATCAAAAAACAGAAAGATCTTCCTGGCTGCTATCTTTAGCTCCATCTTCTCCTGAATTGTCGTATTTTTATACACCTCTGCGCATTACCAGCAGTAATGTCCACTGGGGGAGTAAGCAGGGGTCAGGTTGACAAAAGCAAAGCAAACCCCCCTCTTTTTTCTTCATGCACTGCACATAAATCATCTGAACACTGCTATATGTTATCTTTGTTACCTGCTCTAGAAATCTAATAACTTACCTAAAAATGGGGCAGGTTAAGAATTGGAAAACATAGCTTGGTGATAGGTGGAACGTAGCTCTCAAGAATGTGAAGAATGTAGCTCAGTGATAAAAATGTAATGAATATTGGCCAGAAAATATAAAGTAGCAAAAATAATCTCAAATATATTTAAAGATAGATCATGAAAATGCTCACAGCGTTTGACATTTCTGAAAAATATATTGATGGAAAGGTCTGGGGATCTTTCTATCATAGTTTCTCTGAAAATTGCCCTTTTCCGAAGTCCAAAACTTTCCTCACACATCTATGCTTACGCTACAGAATCTTCCATGACCTGTGAAATATGAGATTAGTATCTTTTTAATCAAAACATGCTGCAAAAAGCATAGGTTTAAAAGATTTACCTTTTGAGGCTTGTAGACTGCAGAGGAAATAGCTCATCTGAGGATTTCCTGCAGATTCGGTGTTCTGGACTTATAAAAACTTCAGGAAAAAAAGGTTGTTTGGGAGATGTAAAATGCCTACATGTTAAGCTATTTTCCAGACATGTTATCTACTATTTAGGTTGTACTAGAAAATATTTTTATCATTCAAGCTAACCTGGATTTTATTCAGACAGCTGTAGAGGCACTATTGTGTGGGACAAACATGTGAAAAACACATTCAGGATATACCCCTGTATGTGGTGAAGTTCTCATAATTATCCACTGTTGTGCATATGATCAATTTTGGCACCTTTGAGTTTCAGGAAGTGCCTGAAACTCTACCTACATGAACAACCATATTTTTATTTAATATTACTTGAAAAAGCTGGGGAGTTTATCAGAGATATATAAATTTAGCCCAGATCTAAAAAATAATGTAGATGTGTTATTTTTAAAAAGTAGCAGAGTTGCTCATTTTAGTCTTTTAGATAACAATGTGGCTCAAATTAAAATTGCCAATCTGACTTCCTGGGAATTATCTTGTGTTCCAGTCCAAGAAGAAAGATTTGGCTGTAGGGGAGAGGACATCGCTTGACAGTGCCACTCCCAAACATGAGCAATATGGTAGGGCTGCCACCAATTGAGGCTGAAGATGAGATATGGTGGTAAGCTATCTTAAAATTGCTGTCATTGTTTCAACAGCATCAGCTTTCCAGCTATATGGTTCAGTGAGTTTGTTCCCAAATTTTAGTGAAATAGGCACCAGAGATAGGCATTATTCCTACTCACTGATCAACCCATGAATATTACAATTTTTAATAACTAGAGTACTTCCTTAATAAGTGAAGTGAAGTGCATGTGTATGTATATGTATACATATAGCTTACTATACATGTGTGTGTACATGTGTGTGTGTGTGCATGTGTGTGTATTTATGCACAGTCACACACACAAGTGCCAAGATTATTAAAATTTACAATATGTTTGGCTTGAATTAAATCTAGGGACAAATAAATTAGATTAAATTTAAATTAGATTAATTAAAGGGATATAGAAGATATGCTCTAGGTAGATAACATAGTCATCATTTGATCTGCTATCTGTAAAGTAAAATGTTATCTCTTCTTCTTGAAGGACATACTTGTTGCTGTATTACTGAACAGCTCTTACCATATCAAACCATCTCTCGGGTTTGCCGGAATTTTCACCTCATCAAAAAAACTAGCTTAGTTGCTTATTATATGGAGTGAGAGGATCTGCTTGCTGCTTGAGAATAAGAATAGCTCTCCATATGTAATCCCAGGTTAGCTTCTTTGTAGTGTTATAATAAGAAGCCACCTTCTGAACAGGATTAAAAGACATTATTCTAGAACACTTTAGATGTTGCTGAACTACAACTCTCCTACGAAGTATCTGTTATCATTGGCCTTGATAAGTAGGACTTCTGAGAGATGTGAGTCATCAAGATTTGAAGGGCTGTGGGCTTTCCCCCTCTTAGAAGGTGAGACTGAGCTGAGACTTGAAAACAATACGTTTATTTTGAGGAAGAACAAGCACCAACGTATTCTAATATTCTGAGTTATAAAGAAGAAATTTTAGAGAAGCGTTCCCCAAATTGGTGTCCTCATAGTATACAGGACTAAAATTGCCATATGTCGGGTTACATTTATGAAAGCTGTAGTCCAACATACTAGGAAAGTATCAGTTAAGGGAAGGCTGTTCTGGAGAACGTGTGAAACCCATGCATATGTTTTATTCTTTATTTTATATTGTCGTCTAAATGACTTGAATTTATTTCCAATGTGTTTCAGGTGCTGTTTGCTTTGAATCAAACATTACTGCAACACGAAAGTCTTCGAGCTGGCAGCTGGCAGGCTCCTTACACCACTGAAGACCTCATCAAGCATTACAACTGTGGTGACCTAAATGCTGTTATATTCAACCATGATTCTTCACAGGTATTATGACTTTAATTGTCTTACATATAGGGGAAGACCAAAAAGGCACAATTGTAGCATCTCACCACTACAGCTGTTTAGTTCCTGCTTCACATTTCTTTGGCCTCCAGAGTTCTTTTATCTGGCTTGAATAGGTATGTGGAGAAGTTAAAACATATATCCCCTGATGATATTTTCCTATCCCCACTCTAATTTCCCCAAACAAGTAGTTGAATTATCACTGGAGAGATAAGGAACACTTTATGAAATCCACAGGCATCAAACCTTAATTTAGTTATTGCCAAACTAAGATACAGTGATTATAAATCTGTGCAGTAAATACAAACTTTGTTTATACGTGGAAGTGTAGCTAAAATTCTGAAATGGGCACAAGGGTCAAGGAAAAACATTCTAGTTGACTGTGATTCAATGTACATGATTGATTAGAATTACTCTTGAAACTAAAGAAAAGGTACTGAAGATAGAGCATCCATTTTGTTCATAGGCATTAATGATAGTCGGAACTCAAAATGGATCTCCTTTAAAACAGTTCTTTGGATCTTATTCAATGTGGGTCCTGTTCTCAGTTATAGATGTATCTCTTATCACTGACCTTGCTGATTGTGGTGATGTGTCCCACTTTCCTGTGACATATGAGATGCTCTATATTAATCAATAGCTAATTATAGCCAACTCAGGGCTTTTGGTTTCATTTCATTTAATTATAGTTAATATAGACAGGAATCTATATCCACCCATATCATATTTGCTGGGCTTCATTCTTTCCCCTCATCCCTCATTAGGAGGATCAGAAAGAAGAAAATACTATCTACTGAGTCCTCATTCCTTTTCCAGGAATGCCTGAAAATATGATTGTTGCAAACTCCATGGTCTTTGGAAGCACCTCCCACGTGCAATCCTCACCTCTGCCATTCTGGGAGCCAACTGTTGTAGAACTGGGCAATGGGTTAGAGGTCTGATTAGTAGCAAATAATCCTCAAAAGCCTTTATGTTGTCCTAAGACAACAGTTCTTCCAAATCTGCCCCAGTGACCTCTCAAGGTTTTAATAGTCCCTAATACACCAATCTTTTCTGGTAAAAATCTGTGCGGTTGCTAACAATGACTTGATGGCACATAATCAAAATCAAGAATGTTTTACTTATGGACTGTTCTGTATAGCAATCAAGCAAATGTGCTCTATAACAGATTTCACAATGGCAGTTGAAGGCTTATTAAAACAGCAGTGCAAAAAAAAAATGTGCAGAAGGAATAATCAAAGGAGGTGGCAGGACCAGGTGGTTCCTTTAAAAAGCCTAATTCATTGTAGCTTAGAAAAAATATTTGATGCCCTCACTAGGAGGTCAAACCATTTCCACCTAAAAGAACCATAAATACCTACTCTAGGAATTATGACTGCAGGAGATCTTGGAACATGTGAAAATAGTTTTCATAGGAGTAAGTTGCATTACTCTTTGCATCCAGCACAATAGTCTTGGGGCTTCTTGGCACTAGATAGCTCCAATTATTATAATCACAGTTCTACAGTTGCCTATGTAATGTGACCCCAAATACAATGGGTACAAAACTGTACTAAAATGTCTCAAAGGATCTCAGCCGCAAAATGATCTAACCAGCTAATGCTACCTTGCCAGTCCCCTCTTGCCTCTTCTGCTTGTTGTCTCTGTACCCTGGAAATCCTTATGTTCTTCATATGTCTCTGGTTTCCTTGAGAAACAATGAGATATTACCCCTAGAATCGTTTCTCTAGAATTGCTCTGTGTGTTTCAGTCTAATGATGGATTAAAAGGCTTTGAAAGGAATGTGTGCATAATAGAAAGTTAACTGCAAGTGCTTGCAAGGCCTTTGAACATAATTCCTTCTCGTTAGGACAAAAGACTTTGTAATAATTGAGTTTATATCTGAAGAGGAAATGAGCAGTATGGAAATAGGTTATGAGGCCAGATAACTTCCTAAACATGCTATAATCCAATAATAATTTGTGTGTCACATGACTTTGGGCGGAAGCCATTGCTTTCTCTTAGATCTTCTATATCATAATGAACTTTGAAATGCTTCCGTGGTTTCCTAAGTTGCAAGCGAGTCAAGCAGGCATAGTTTATACAACTGTAACTGTCACCAGCAAGAGGTAATACAATAGAATGTATTCACTTTATGTATTCATCCACTTTAAGGATTTTTGTGTCACTGCTTAAATTACTTCAACTGAAATTGCTTGGATTAATTTGGAAGCCTCAGATATATCTGATAATGAGTTTTTAAAATAAAGAGTACTATCCTACGAATAACTAGAGGGGGAAAAAGCTTATATTTCACTGAAAAATAGTAATCAACAGCAACTTGTCTGTGACAGTAAAATAGAAATCTCACATAACCATTACAAAAAGTGAGGAGAACACATGTTTTGCAGTAAAATCAATTATACCATCTTGATTTTAATTTCCACTGGGAACTTGAATAGCAAACAAAACAAACAAAAGCTTGGATTGTTAGTGTGATTGCGTTACATTCTTCTCTCGATAGTTTTCTCACTTAAATCCTTATTTAATCTCAGTAAGGCTGAACAAGACAAAGTTTATTTAGTTGAAGCATGTCAGAGAAATAAAATAGGAAACAGCTCATTTTGTTATACACGTTTTTGCAACATACTTGGCTAATAAATTTACAGCAGAGTTTCTGGGCAAGCTGTCAAAGTGATACAGAACTTAGCATTCTTTAAAACAAAGGCAGCGATGGGTTGTTATTTTTTCTTTACTGCTCTCTGAGTGGATAGCCTTTGATTTTAAGGAAGATTTCTCTGTCCAGATTACATTTATGTTCCCATTAACATTTCCTGAGGTTTGATTTGCATAAGCGTTTCAATGCCCATGCTAACTTCCAGCCACTTTAGCCTTCATCTCATACTCAACTATCCTCTATATGTGCTTCTAGGGTGTAGTGGTGGCATTTCGACCCTGATTTCTAGAAGGTTAGTTTGTAGCCTTCTAGCTCCCCACTGTCTGAAATCATTATAATGTAGGATAAACAGACATATGTCCATATTCATTTAGCTCTTTTTGTCATGAGAATTAGCTATAAAAGGAAGATTCTCTGAAGTTAAGTTTACAACTTTTGATTGGCTCTTATTCTTAAAAAACGTTGAACCATTTGCATAATCAGGTTAAGATATGCATATCTGACCTGAGATAATTGAGGGGGAGAACAGCTAAAGTCTGTTGAATGAAGCCATCTGATACTGGGTCAGGACAGACAATAGAGAGAAAAATCACACTGCATACAGTACATGGTGATGTACTATAAACTATGCTTTTTTTTTAGTATAATTTTTATTGGAAGTTTTAAAAACAAGAGTAGAAATCAATACAAACTAAAATAGAGTAAGAAAGAAAAAAGAAAAAGGAAGAAATAAAAGAGAAGGCTAAAGTGCAAAAAGAAAAAGAAAAAAGAAAGAAAAAAAATATAAAGAAGTGGCTTCCGATCTTCTTTACAGCAGTTATAAGTTATAACATGACTCTCTTCTTTCTATAATCTGTACTATCTGATTCTCAAAAACATAGATCATAAGTGCATTTTTTCCGGTTTTACGCAAAAAGTCCATAAAAGGTTTCCAGTCAGCAATAAATAGATAGATGTAGATATCGTCTTTTCTCTAATCAAACAGGTCAATTTGGACATCTCAGCAA